GTTTTTCTTCATTACCCATTTAAGCCATCTCCAGCCATTATTAGTCTCAAAGTGGGTTCCTCGTCATCGAATCTATATAAAAACTGTTCAAGATGGCTAATCTCAATACAAATTGTCCCATATGATTGCTTTTAAATTGGAATCATGGATCAGCGTAAATCATTAGTCCATTATAATTTAATCTGAAAAGAAGCTGACTCGGTAAATCGTATTTCAAGAAGATTATCCCAAATAAACTTCCAAGAAATAACAAGCTTTTTTTGGCAAAGAAACAAAGTACGGAAGATTTCCAATTAATGGAATGTCATCCACAAATTCTAGGTCTTAACTCTGTAGAATAAATCTGGGATTGATGGATCCACGCTCGACAAAAGTACTAACTGTACTATAGAAAGCCTCTGGACGCATCTTCAAGAAAACTTGAATCAAATTACAGCAGAGGCTTTGAGGAAATATACAGACATAATGCCACAAAGATGGACAACCATAAATATTAGAAATATAAAATATTAAAAACATTATTTGTGTAGTAATCTTGTATTAGTTTTTTTTAGATTAATTTGCAACAAGTACAAGTTAATTTCTATAGCAAATCAATGATTGTTTTGTGTATAAAGACCATAAAGTAACAAAACTGTTTAGGATTTGATAACAAATTTGCAGTATACTGTGATTGGCTAGATTTAATTAATTACATTAAAATTATATTTGATATAAACTTGCAGTATACTGTGATTGGCTAGATTTAATTAATTACATTAAAATTATATTTGATATAAACTTGCACTCTACTGTGATTGGCTAGATTTAATTAATTACATTAAAATTATATTTGATATAAACTTGCAATCTACTGTGATTGGCTAGATTTAATTAATTACACTAAAATTAGATTTGATATAAACTTGCAGTCTACTGTGATTGGCTAGATTTAATTAATTACATTAAAATTATATTTGATATAAACTTGCACTCTACTGTGATTGGCTAGATTTAATTAATTACATTAAACTTATATTTGATATAAACTTGCAGTATACTGTGATTGGCTAGATTTAATTAATTACATTAAAATTATATTTGATATAAACTTGCAATCTACTGTGATTGGCTAGATTTAATTAATTACCATAAAATTATATTTGATATAAACTTGCAGTATACTGTGATTGGCTAGATTTAATTAATTACATTAAACTTATATTTGATATAAACTTGCACTCTACTGTGATTGGCTAGATTTAATTAATTACCATAAAATTATATTTGATATAAACTTGCACTCTACTGTATGAATATTATTAGAGATTAACAAGACTAATAGATTTGATCCGTAGAAATAATTAAGGTCTCTACTGTGATTGGCTGGATTTGATTAATTACTCTTAAAAACCTACTCTCATACTTGTCGTGAAATCGACTTTCAACTTGGACAGGACTTTGATAAATTGTAACACCTAAACCACGTATTTAACTTAGATGCTCTGTTCATCAGATACTGACAACAACTGAACATTCTAATTCTAGAGTAACCTTTCTCAACATGAGCAAGGAAACAACCGTACCGTCAGCCATGGCGTAAACCTTTTTCTTCTCTTCTGTTCTCTCCTGAAATGAACCAGATAGTTATATTGCCTTTTGAACTGAAAACTAGTGAATAACAAACAAAACTTGATAAACTAAAGTGCTTAGAATAATTATGTCTAAACTAAAAACTGATAACGATATTGGTAAAAATAATTACGCCTGATGTACTCTCTACAGCTAGTAATTTAACATAATTATATATTTAATATATATATATATATATACATTATTATATACATAATTTAATTAATTCACGTAACAAAACTAACAAACAACATGCGTGTATTTTTTGTGTGTGTTACTTTAGAATTTCGTCATGATTCAGGGTTTTAATATATATATATATATACATTATTATATACATAATTTAATTACTTCACGTAACAAAACTACTAAACAACATACATGTATTTTTTTTTTTCGTGTATACCTAAATGAAAATTCAGAAACGGTTGATACTTTTATAAACATTTTAACCCTAAAGTCCATATTTATTCAAATTTGTAATGTTATTGACTACAAAATTTATAACCACTATATGAAACACTAGAATTATAATAAATAATTAAAAACAACGTTTACTATTTACACAATTAAAACTTTATTAAAGTCGTACTGCTTCCACTTTAAAACAACACTCCACAAGTACTAGTTTCGACGTGATCTACGTCATCTTCAGGAGTTACTTACAAGTCATGCTTTATACTTTTACCCCTTTTCGCATTGCTTCTCATTATTTACACATTTCTTTGGTCTACCTTTTTTATTTTTTCATTTTTTTTAATAATTAGTATAATATATCTCGCCATATATCAACATATTGACTTGCTGGTCCTTCCTTA